TAATAATATACCAAAATTCACCATAAATCACCAACGTTTTTGCCGTGCCATTGAAAAAAATATCTGATACATACGCCCACGAACAATCGTTGCTAATCTCAAAGTAAGCTAGGATTGCTCGTGCAGATACTGCTGCATGGCAGCTGCCACGCCTCTGAAGGTAAGTATACCGTTCTGCTCACCGTTCTGCCAATGTACAGTACGCATGTAACGGCGACAGGTAGATCTGCGAAAGGAAAGAGCTGTGCGCTGACGGCACGTTATGCAGCACGAACATCGCGGGCAAATCCCAAGTTGGGTCACTCCCGCTCGCCAACAATGTTCAACATTTCCACTAGTTATTTCACCAATAGTAGGCACAAGTATGCCACACAGACTCTGTCACTAATAAAAAAATAATGGTCCCTAGGTTGATAGAAAATTATGCGCAAGGCATTTCCCTGGCAAATGTTGCAAGCAGGCTATTGTACCACGTTGGTGGCCGGCCGGCCTCTCCGGCTTCGTCGCCTACGCATTTTGCGCGCATGCGTCGAGGTGGAGGCTTCTCTGTGTCAAGGAGGCGGAGCGAGAAAGATCGGAGGATGGCGAAAGCGTCCCCCCCAGTTCGAGAGCAGTTCTCCCTCCGCTACCTGAAACTACCGGAGGACAAGACTCTCCCGCGCTCCCTTCCGCTCATCCTGCCCAGCACGCACGCCTGGGACGGCGAGCGAGGCAAGGTGGTCGAGAAACATAACCCTCTCGCAGGTCTCGTAGATGACGACGGCGTCCGCGTCCCGAGACGACCTCCGGCTGGCGAAATAAAACTGGAGATCGTACCCGACGCCCTTGCGTTGCTTTCGAGTGTTCGGCGACCGCTCGCCGTCCTCTCGATATGCGGCCCGTTCCGCTCGGGTAAATCCTACTTCCTCTCCCGTCTTCTCGGAAAGGAGTTTTTCGAAGTGGGACACGGAATGAAGGCGTGTACTATAGGTCTTTGGATGTCCACGGCTCTTCTTGAAGGCGAGGACTACTCCATCTTGCTGGTGGATACGCAGGGCGTCGATTCTATCAGTGCTACGGAGAGCATTGGATCCAGCCTCATGTCTGTGACGGCTCTCCTCAGCTCCTTCCTCATCTACAACTCCAAGAACGTCCCGGATAAATTCGACATCGAGAAATTGAGGATCTGCGTCCTCCTGTCGTCCACGATTCTCTGTCAAGTGAGTAGCAAGGAGCTTGCAGATATCAACAAGAAATTCTTTCCCAACTTTCTGTGGCTCTTGCGTGATTCGCACCTCCAAACGTTGGACTCCAGTAGAAGACCACTCGACCTAACCTCGTACATACGTTCACGTGTTCTAAAACTGGACGACAGCGACTCGAGTGAAGGCAAAAGCGAGGCAGGGAAAGAAATCAGCGGCTTTTTTCGCTCACTGGAGTGTCGGAAGCTCCCGCTTCCTTCCATTACGCCAGTCGTCTTGAAGGACATGTTTGGACTTAGCGACAGAATCAGCAAAGTCTTTACCATGGAAATGTCGAAGACTTTTGACCTCATCTTGCAGAGCATGAGCCCCAAGACGTCAATGGACAGGGCGGCGACTGTAGTCGACGGAACAAAACTGGCCGAGTTGGTTCGGAAGTTTGTCGATGCTGTGAACACGGGCAGCTTGCCTGATTTCAGGCAGGGGTGGATGGCACAGGTGAGGCTTCGATGCCAGGAAAAAATAGACAATATTGTGGCAGTGTACAGGGACCGGATGAGCCGCTGTACACTTGGAAACAATCTACCGATGGAAGAGGAAAGAATTGCCGAAATACACGGAAAGTTTGCGGACGAGAGTTTGGACGAACTGAACACCAGCCTCAGTGAAATCGATCCTCCGGGCATTGCTATCGATCGCAACGAAACGGTTCACCTTCTTGAAGGGTTGCTAGCACAGTATGATGCTGGTGGAAAAGTAGTAGGTGGAGCACTGTATCCTTATGTGGTGGAGAACCACTCTCTTTCAAAGGAGACCTGCGAGGCACTGTGGGCTAAGCTGGTGAAAGAGTGCAACTTTTACGAAAAAGTTTCGCAGGCGGTTCGAGCCGGAGTCCCATGTCATTTGAAGGACGACATTCAAAAAATCGAAGAGAAATTTCTTGCCAGTGCCGTGGGTCCAGCAAAGCAGGAGGTCCTTGAAAAGAGCCACATGGAAACAGCAAAGCAGTCGGTAGAAATGCTCTCCAAGTTGCCCGGTATGCCACGCGACTTTAGGGTAGCCGGTGCCTCGTACAACAAGATCAAGCTGAGCTGGGAACCGCCAATTATAAATCCTCACGCGGTGGTTGTTTACAGAGTGCAGATGAGAATGGACGGAGGAGAATGGAAAGTTGTGAGAGAAACCACACGCACGAGCGCGCTCATCTCGAATCTCGTAGACTCGGCAAAGTACGAATTCAGTGTCGTGGCAGTAGGAGAAGAGCTGCAAGGACAGGAGGTCAGCGAAGGTGCCAAGACAAAGGTCAGCGGGGCGAGGGAGTTCACCGTGAACCTAGCCTCAGGAGCCTTCCCGGTTATCGCGGCAGTGAATCACTTTCTTCACGAGCGACAGAGAGGGAGGCAGGTGAACTGGGCGAAGGCCGCTGCAGCCATTGTGCTCACGACAGCGGTGACTCCTGCCACGGTCGTAGGATTTCCGTTTTCGGGCCCACTACTTGCGATCTCTCTCGCCCATGACGACCAGTTGGAGGAGCTGAGCAAGAGTTGGGGTGACATCACGCCTGTAGTTGACTGATTTAATTGTTCCCTGGTGGTTTTTATGCTCTCTCCCTCCTCTGGCTTGTGTGTCCATTATTGCGTCGATTCCGCAAGTATTGCGTTGCGTTCCGTATAATAGCGTTGCGTATTACCCTACGTCGTGTCACGGAGATCAACAATGTCTACGAAAAGGCCTGCTGTTGACCTGCTGCCGTTCATAACTGTCCTTGCTCTACAACTCGTCCTACCTCTACACGTGGAAACGTCGACAAACGGCATCCGTCGGGAGCGAGCTGAGAGGGAACCGGGCGGCGGGTCGTGCCCGTTCGGTTTCGCGGAAGAGAGCTTCGCGTGTTCCATACGAGACTCTGTCGATCGACTCTCGCTTGAGCACCGACCGCTCCTGGTCCACACCAGAAACGAAGTGAGTTGCTGAACTGTTTGCAGCTAAGCCCCTGTGTTTTTTTATTACTTACGTGGCAAAGTAGGCGTGGCTGGTTGTCTGCTGCAGCGCATGGCTTCATTCACGATCTTTGGTCGTTAGCTAGAGTATTTCTTGTTCTCTCAAGGATGGGGTGGATTCTCTTGTGTTCTTGAGGGAGGGAGAAGACAAAAACTACACCTTTCCATTACACACCCCACTGTACCACAATCTCAAGGTCAGAGGACATTATGCGGACTACATAATGGCATGTTGGGGCTATTATCCCTTTACCCGTGCTATTATTTATTATCATGCAGGCTATATCTCATCTTCCGGTGTCAGTGGTGGGAGTTGTGGCCCCTGACCTGGTGCAGGGCCGGCCATCTCCTCTCTCTCCCAGCACACTCCAGGCTCTCGGTGAGCTGGTAGCGGTGTTGGACAGAGCCACGGGATTAGTGAACGAGGACAATTTTCCAGGACAGGTGGGTAGCATTTTATGGGACGTCCGGTTTCAGGATTGGACAGCACCTTAACCAACATGATTGTGAATTGGTATTTTTGCTGAGTTTTTTTGCTGTGCCTTTTATGATGAGCTGGTTGAATTGTGCTGTGCTATGCAACCTAAAAATTGTATAATTATTATGTTCTGTAATGTGCAGGTAGGACGTCAGATATCAATCATAGACAGAACCAAAGAGTTCATACGAGATGTTAATACTTCAGTTCCGATCTCATACGATGTACTGGAAGAGTTTGGAAGTTCTGTGGCAAATGAGCTGACGGGGAACGCACGGGAGGCAGTCAGGGACTACTTGCAGAGGTGAAGCAAAAGCTCTCTCTATTATGTATGGCTACCCACGGCTTGCTTTGGATTGGTCAACCCCTTTCTCCCTCATTCACTGTCACAGTCTGAACAAGACCGTTACTGAGCTGCTGACTAATAAAACCATCAGCTCCGAAGAGTTCGGAAACCTTTCTGTGGTTATTGAGATCCCACCTTTCGTCGAACCAAACAGCTTTATATTACAGGTAAAAATAAACATCTATATACCAACTTCCAGATGCACTTCAGATAAACGTTTTGTTTGAGAATGGTGTATATAACACACTGCTTATAGATAAACACCCACATGTGCATGCCATGAGTGTGCCACATGTTATATATACAGTCTCAAGGCATGCATGTGGTGATATTTACAAGTCAGAAGACTCCAATGTTATGCAGAACCCATGTGCTCATGGCTCACAAAATTGGAAATCCCTTGTGTGTGTATATATAAAGGAGGCGATGGATCTTCAGAGTTGTAGGAGGTAGTGCTTCCCTTTTGTGACCTCTATTCCCAAAGCTATATATGAATATGAATAGGAAATCCCTAGTGTGTGGATAAAGGAGGTGAATCTTCCTTAGAAGGTATATAGTGCTTCCCTTTTGTGCCCACAGCTATGAATACATTTGCTGCATTGAGCCCCAGTACACCTGTAGACATCATAAAAACTCATTAGAGCATTGCCTAGACTGTTGTTTATGCATCACTGTTTCCACAGTACTACGAACAGTTACTAAACTATCGATACCAGAGCGAGACACAGGATCCTGACAGGTGAATATTTTCCACAAGAATGAAATACAGTAGCAGTCAGAGAGAGGGAGAGAGAGTGAGAAAGATAAAGAACATTGTGTTATAGGTGAATCTAGGTGTATGTATATGTGACACAGTTGTCATGCTCAGCCCCCTTGCTGCTCATTGTATACTCACCATACAATGATCAAATCAGAGTAACTACATAATATAGTGGTAAGGGAGGTGAGAAAAATTCAATTTGTTTGTGGCAATGTTCTCTACTGCAGAATTGTGTTGTCGCCTTATCCCTTGAGCAGTCAAGAGTCAGATTATATAAACACCACCACTACAAATGCATTCTCAGCTACCGAGCTTACTCACGCCATCACCAGAACATTCTACGGTGCGAATGAAGTATTTTCATCGACACACGACCCACTATCGCAAGCTGCAGGTGAAATAATCTGCTCTCCCAACCTCTCGTTTCCGTCGTGTCTCGAAGACAGAAACGGGAATAATCGCGAAGAGAAGTTACCACCTGGGTTTGGTAACCCTACCGAGCGAGGTTACGTAGCGGCAATCATATTCACAAGTGCGTTCTGCATGGTTTTGATGATCGTTGTAGTTTGCATCTTCCGAGAGGGAAAAGTGATGCGGATGGAGCGACGGAAAGAAGATCCTCTTTTTTCTCGTAAACCAAACAGAATCGGTGGAAGGATTAACGATGGGAGTGGTTCAGACGAAGACGAAGATGAAGTACAAGTCACATCTAATAGACGGGCATCATTGGAAGATAATAGAGACACGGTTGAGCCAGTCACTAATACTAGAGCAGGGTTCTACCAGAACAGACAGCAGAGTGGCAGCAGCAGGAGATTGAGGGAAAGATCTTCGGTGGGTCACCTCTCTCCTGGCAGTGGGAGAGATCGCAGCAGACCTTCTGTTACTTACTCTGAGGTTTTATCTACCAATAAACCCTAGTGGGCTTTTCTCTGTTTTGTTTGTGTATTATCAGTGTGTGTGCAATATTGATGTAAAATATCAGTTACTTTCCCACGACGTTATTGCAATTCCGAAGAATTTCCGAACTATTGCGCATTTTGCAGCGCTGCTGCTAAAGGGTGCTCCGATCATCAGGTAGATGGCACAAGTACCCGATTATCATCGGCCGACGATCGCTACGCGCACGCGCACGAGAGACGGCGGATTGCTGGCTCAGCAAAAATTCCTCGCATCAGGCGCAGGCGCCTCAGGTGATTCCGGAAGTCGCGCGATCCGCATTTTGGTGCGCACAAAACTATAACTGCGGACACCGTGCTAACCGTACGTCGCGCTCGCTGTGGGTGGATCAGGCGAACAGCTGAGTGAAACGCGCTATAGTACGAGTGCGTCCAAGATTCTGCACAGTAAATCCTAAACTAGCCGAGCTATACTACGGGACATGGCTGCTGAGAGAAACGTCGAAACGGCCGCGGGCCCGGGTATCGCCGACGTCTGCCAGAAGCCGTACGACGGAAAGATACGCGACAACGTTGCGGAGTACTCGGAGAAGTTCGCGAAGACCGGCGAGCGGGAGGGGGACTTCGACTACGAGTCGCGCACGGAAAAGACGATTGAAATCACGCAGTCGTACTACACGCTCGTCACGGACTTCTACGAATACGGCTACGGAGCCTCGTTCCATTTCGGCCCCGTGCGCGACGGGCAGACATTGCAGGACTGCCTACTCGACTACGAACATGAAATAGCACGTAACCTGAACGCCCGGCCCGGCATGAAGATACTGGTGAGCCTAATATGATACTTGTTCTATTGAACCCTAATTTCAAAGTATAGCTATGTGCTACATTCAGAACAATACGCTATAGATTTCTGGCATTGTTCGCATTGAATGAAAACAAGCTACACTGTATATACCATTGGAAAATTATGTATTATTAACTATGAAAGCCACAACCGGTGTAATGGTAATACAAAACCAACATGCATTCCGCATGCCCACGCACACATAGTAAATAGAAGATGCCCCAAAGGTATGGTAGTAATAACTGCTGGGTGTACTAAATAAACATATTAAAACCCTTTTAATTAAAAGACTGTGTCCCAATGCATTAGTGAGGTAACCTGTGTGTCCTTTGTAGCTTTTCCTTTCACTACAATCAGATATCAAGGGCCTACAAAAAGCAGCTATATCTCCGGAATAGAATGGGCTATCCGCACAAAATTTTGACCGAGCACTGCAAAAGGGTATTATTATAACTATGATTATGCAAAAAGCCACAAACCGGTGTAATGGTAATACAAAACCAAACATGCATTCCGCATGCCCACGCACACATAGTAAATAGAAGATGCCCCAAAGGTATGGTAGTAATAACTGCTCTGTGTACTAAATAAACATATTAAAACCCTTTTAATTAAAAGACTGTGTCCCAATGTATTAGTGAGGTAACCTGTGTGTCCTTTGTAGCTTTTCCTTTCACTACAATCAGATATCAAGGGCCTACAAAAAGCAGCTATATCTCCGGAATAGAATGGGCTATCCGCACAAAATTGGACCGAGCACTGCAAAAGGGTATTATTATACAACACGAAATCCGGTGAAATCTCCAAAAAGATTTTGGCGACTGATATTGCTTTTTTGTGTGGATGTTTGCATATTCTCTGTTTATGATCAACCAGGACATTGGCTGTGGTATTGGAGGACCAGCTCGAGCTATCGCCCGGTATAGCGGAGCTTCAGTGACGGGCCTCAACATCTGCCACTACCAAGTGAACAGAGCTAAAGAGCTGACCAAGCTCTGTGGTCTTCAAGACCTCGTCAGCTTCAAGCAGGTATAATATACAATTCTATAGAGTAGCTATGGGTGTAGTGCTGGAAGACCTGTGTCGTCCCCATCTTGGCTTATCACACGCACCTCTACAGTACAATAAATGCCGCTGCAAATTTTGCTTTTAAGATATAATAGCTGGGTGTTCTGATGTTCAGTCTACTGTAATAGCTATATACTCTTTTTATGCGGTTTCCAGAAACAATTTCCTTCTTAGACTTACATAGCTACACTAGTGTGTCATAGTTATGCCCAAAGGTTACCTTTTGCTTCCTTTCTATTAACCAAACTTAAAACCCTTTGGACGCCATGGGGATGTGCTTATTAAATAAGCATAAATTAATGTGTATAAAGCATTAGCGCCTAGTATTATAACCCCTATATAAATTCTTGTGGACTTATGGAGGCTCTGGGCACGTGTAGCTACGTATGTGTCGGCGACTGGTTAAGTGTCAACAAATTAACAAATTTTTTCGTGTCCGTGAAAAGGGTGACTACCATAAGATGGAGTTCCCTGACGACACTTTTGATGGCCTCTACGCTCTGGAGTCTACTTGCTACGCCAGGAAACCAGTGGACGTCTACAAAGAGGTAGCGTATATACGTAACTCCTATAATTATATATATACATTTCTGTGCATTACGTGGCATCACATGGTCTATTCTGTACGGCTGAAATAATAATATATACCATTTTTACATTTTTTGGACCTTTTTTTTACATAACAACCTGAGTAGTATACGAACTCAGCAAAAAACCACCTAGTGTCAACATTAGCAAGTAAGCGAGTCTACTTGTAGTAATCTGAATGTTTGTGTCTTTTCCATAAAATTTCGCGCGTCTCTTAATTTACCGGTTACTGTCCCACCAATCGCTCCATTGTACCGCAGGTGCACCGAGTGTTGAAGCCAGGAGCCATGTTTGTGGACTCAGCCTGGGCGATGACCGACCTCTACGACCCCAACAACCCCCAACACGTCAAGATCAAGGGAGAAATCGAGGTCTGTCTGTCTTGTCTTGTCTGTCTGTCTGTGTTGCACGTACGATGAACTATCGCTTCTAACTTCACTGTGTATATATACGTAGCTGGCCTTCACTTTTAACCCTTTGGACGCCATGGGTATCTCCTTTAATAAGCAGAAATTGATGTATAAAATATTAACGCCTAGTATTATAGCCGTATATAAATTCTTATGGACTTATGGAGGCTCCGGGCATACATATATGCCCGTGGCTTGCTAATGGGTTAATATGGAGCCACTAGACTGAAAAAGTATATATATACCTTGACCTGTGGTTCTAATAGTATGGCCCTCAGCCTCAGGAAAGGAGAGGTCAACAGTCAAACAGTATTTCCCTTGTGTATTTTTGGGGACCGCCCCCCAGCCGGTTAACGTGTAATATTGGAACTCATGAATACATGTCGCATCAATTGACTGTAACTTTCTCTCTCGCTCTAACCTCCCCCCCGTGACTGACCGTTGTATATACAGTATGGTTCAGGTGTCCACCAGTTGAGGACGGTGAAAGATATTCTGGATGGTCTGAAGGAGTCGGGAATGGAGCTGGTGGGATTCCGAAGTTGCCACCACGAGGGAGACAAACCCTGGTATATAAATGTGTCATTGCTCTCTCTCTGGAACGATTTTCACTTTCCAATTCTGTGTGCCATTATTTTCATGCGACTATAGATACGCCACATAGAATGGGCACATCAGCCGTTACAGTACATGTAGTTGACTTGTTTGCCTTGCCTTGCCTTTCTACCTCGCTACCAAGTTGTTGAGACAGCTACACTGCTACAGTGGAACTCCATTTTAGTGTTAATGTTACTATGTCAGAGGAAGCAGTGCTGTACAGGCCCAGGCCATTTGAAAAGAAAGAGCTGTCCTGGGTGTAGTTGACTTGTTTGCCTTGCCTTGCCTTTCTACCTCGCTACCAAGTTGTTGAGACATGCAGTTGTCTAAGTGGTGGTGGGTGTAATTAAGCGTTGCGTAGGCGACCCGTGTCAAGGACCTCCTCTTATTTCTCTTTTCTTTTTCTTTCTTCATTTCTCTTTCCTTTTGTTTCTCCTTTCTGTTTTTGAAGCAAGCGTCACCAGCTTGATTCACGTGTGTATTTTCCACGCAGGACCTGCTTTCTTCAGGGACAGTCGACCTGCTCGTTGAAACACTTCCGCACGTCAACCATTGGTCGCATGGCAACCCACTGCCTCGTCTACCTTCTGGAGACCTTCAAAATCCTTCCTCAGGTAGTATATGGCGGAAGGCAGTAAATAAACAAAAACTCTGATTGGTTATTCATTTAAAAGGCATGTGGCAGTATATAAGGGCTAAATTTAGAAATGTTACTAAAACGGAACTCAATTGCATATTTTCACTGTGCCCCTATTGTTTTGTTCTATCTTTAGTAACATTTCTAAATTTAGCCCTTACATACTGCCACATTCCCTTTAAATGAAGAACCAACCAGATGAAAACCAAGTTTTCACTCTGTATGTCAGTGCCTTAGCTAACCGCATACAGTGGAACCTCCGATAAGGGACCCTCCGAGATAGGGACGACCTCTCTACAAGGACACTTGTTTCAACCCCATGCTAATACTTTAGTGTATTATTTGACCTCCGAGATAGGGACGACCTCTCTACAAAGGACACTTGTTTCAACCTCATGCTAGCGTATTATTTGACCTCCGAGATAGGGACGACCTCTCTACGAGGGACAAAATCGTTGGCCCCATTGTTCAGAGGTTCCCCTGTATTGACGGACCGTAAATCCCCACACCCCTAGGGTTCGTCAAAGGTCCACAGTGTCCTACTGACGTGTGGAGACGGACTCATCGAGGGAGGCAAAACCGACATCTTCACTCCGATGTTCCGAATAGTGGCACGCAAGCCCGGGTCTTCGGATTAACAACGAAACATCCTCTACACTATATAATAGCAACACATTGGAGCCACCAATTGCAAGTAACGAGTATTATATAAATCCAGAGATTCTGGATCATGCATAGTACTTACGGTTCTACATTAAAAAGAAGTTTGTGTTGATAATTTAGGTTTTTACTTTTTTTGTAGAGACACGATATTATAATTTTATACAACACGCAAACACACAGATGTATTTGTCCATTTCTTCTGTTTATTTATTAGTATTATTATTATTATTGTTATTGTATTACACTGCTGTCGTGGTGTTGTATGCAAACTATTTATTGCAGTAAAGTGGATCTATTTTAGAAACAAACATGTCCATAATAATATTACATATTATGATCGTGTATGTGTGTGTGTGTGTGTGTGGTGTGTGCAAAAGATAATATAGGCAGAACACTGCAAGTTTGCTATAGCTTATATAGTATTATAAAATCAGGTCATTTACAAAATTATTGTGAGATGCATCACAGTGGCAACAATGGTAAGGAAAACGGTGTAATTGTATATTATACCTGCATTAAAAATTTTTGACACACTTATCAAGTTTTTGAGCTCTGTGACGAGGGTGGGGAGGAGGGGGAGGGATGGAGGGCGGGGTCAAGGCGTGGTTTCTTCTTGGTTCGGAGTTGGTTCATCGTCTCCTCGATCGAGCGATGGTCTCTCTTGTTAGCACTGGGAACTATGGCAACAGTATCAAAGAGAGTTAGCTACAGTGTGGAACCTCATTAATACGAACACTGTTAAAGCGAAATATATATATATACCTGGAACCACTTTGAAATCCCCAGGCATTATAACACTAATACTGTTAAAGTGAAATTCCTTTTACTATGAACATACATGACGAGGTTCGACTTTATAACACAATCACTAACTAAACCTCATTGGGGCCATGAACACCATAATACAGTGGAACCCTCTTGTAAAGGACATTCTGAATGAACAACTGAACTTCCGGTGTTATTAGCTACTTTCACGTAATGTCTGAAATACGTAAGGACACTTAGGTATACTCGAAGTACAGTTTTCGCATGCAACTCCTGAAATAAGGACACCTCACTGAACTAGCTTTTCTTTCCCGGGTCCAGAAGAACAGTGCTCCCATGCAACTCCTGAAATAAGGACACCTCACTGATAACTACTAGCTTTTCTTTCCTCATTCCAGAAGAACAGTGCTCCCATGCAACTCCTGAAATAAGGACACCTCACTGATAACTACTAGCTTTTCTTTCCTCATTCCAGAAGAACAGTGCTCCCATGCAACTCCTGAAATAAGGACACCTCACTGATAACTACTAGCTTTTCTTTCCCGGGTCCAGAAGAACAGTTTTAAACTCTGACCGTATCCAAAGGTTCTGTTGGGCTCCATTTTGACAGCTGTCTTCTCGGCACACTCGAGTCCTCCAATCAGGTGCCTGTATTTCTGCCGATAGTCGCTGGAAGGAAGTGTGGCAGTGGGTGTGGTTTCGCCAGTCCTTGTTGGAGGTAGGGAAGAGGCACCGTCTGCATTGCCAGTGGTCGACTGGGTCTTGCTACTGACATCTGGAGTATGGGGCTCCTGACAAATTAACAATTAGCAAGTGTACCAACCCATGTATAATTATACCGACTCTAATGAATAATTGTACAATGTTCCTTATATGGAGGGGCTATTATAGGCTAATGCTCCCTAACTACACCTTCGTAATGATGACATCCTTCTCGTCTCCATCGCCGACCGAGTGAGAAAAAAGACCGGCTGCATCAGCTACATCATGTCTGTAGCACGTGAGGATCACGTGATACCACGTGACTCGGGGTAAATAATTACTGCTCACAGGATGGCTCTGTAGACTTTGGGCACCTTTGGAAAAGGCAGTTCTTTCTTATCGCCATCTGACAAAAGCTCCTTCACCTTTTTTTCGACCTGCAACACACAAAATCGTACTGAAATAGCGCGTATACTAACCGGACACGTGTTGGCCACTCGGACACTGTTTACCTCCGTCCGGAACTTTGCTCGCCGCTTTTGCTCGGCTTCGAGACGTTTCTCGGCCTTTTCCTGCAGCGCTACGCAACGGCACGGCGCGATAGATTAGGTCACACAAGAATCCGGTTGAACGCCCACCTTTCTTCATCTTTTTCTCCCGCTCGGAGGCGGTAGGTGGCTTGTCCATGGAGCCCATGATAGAACCCAGAAGATCCATGGTAGAACGCGTTCTACACCCCGCCCCTTTTTGCGTACTACGTTACGCGCGCGTGTGCGTTGCGAAGGTAACGCGGATGCGCAGGCGCATGCGCGGCCAATTGTTGGTGTGTACAAGTTAAAATTTCACATAATATAGTCCAAAAACACACTACTACACCTATACCCACAACCATGCTACTGTTCTTTGCATGATTTCTTATCAAACTCCTACTATAATAATATGTCAATAAAAGACCGCTCCCTAACAGACAAAGCTTCACTCATCATCTCCAGTCGTCTTCTGCTTCTTGGCTTCCGGCTGCTTCACCTGAATATATAGAACATAATAATTGAATTACGAAGGAAAATTTGTTAAATGACACATCATAACTGCAAACCTTCTGTTGGACTACAGTGGAACCTCCGATAAGGGACCCTCCGAGATAGGGACGACCTCTCTACAAGGACACTTGTTTCAACCCTATGCTAATACTTTAGTGTATTATTTGACCTCTGAGATAGGGACGACCTCTCTACAAAGGACACTAGTTTCAACCCCATGCTAATACTTTAGTGTATTATTTGACCTCCGAGATAGGGACGACCTCTCTACAAAGGACACTAGTTTCAACCCCATGCTAATACTTTAGTGTATTATTTGACCTCCGAGATAGGGACGACCTCTCTACAAAGGACACTAGTTTCAACCCCATGCTAATACTTTAGTGTATTATTTGACCTGAACGACCTCTCTACAAAGGACACTTGTTTCAACCCCATGCTAATACTTTAGTGTATTATTTGACCTCCGAGATAGGGACGACCTCTCTACAAAGGACACTAGTTTCAACCCATGCTAAACTTTAGTGTATTATTTGACCTCCGAGATAGGGACGACCTCTCTACAAAGGACACTTGTTTCAACCCCATGCTATATAATACTTTAGTGTATTATTTGACCTCCGAGATAGGGACGACCTCTCTACAAGGGACAAAATCGCTGGCTCCATAGTGTCCCTTGTTCGGAGGTTCCACTGTAGCGTGAAAACGTACCTCGAACTTCTCGTCGGCCTCGACGTCCCAGAATTCCTCACAGGTCTGTCCCTTGGTGTAGAAGATGGCTCCTTGGAGAAGTCTCATCCCTTTGTCCACCTACAAACAGGTTAAAGTTCATAGGGAATGTGGCGGTATAAGAGGGTTAAATTTAAAACGTAAATTGATTCCTGGGCTCTATTGTTTAGCTCGCTGGTGGAAAGGGGTGAGTTGAGGTGTCTGGGAGGTGAGACAGACACCTCATGTTCATATGGTGTATGTTCGTTTGTTAACGGTTCCGCCCATTGCTCTGGGTGCGTGGTCTATGGCCCTAGTGCTATGGCAGCCTCCTGAGTATTGTTTATATAGCTCTATCTTTAGTAACACTTCTAAATTTAGCCCATCTTTAGTATAAATTTAGCCTACATTATGAACCCCCTCAATTCCTATATTATACTGTATCTCAAGGTGTATATATTATTTGTGGCTACAATATAATATTATACATAATGTATTACTTCTCTAAGTTTCTTCATGTCGTCTGCGTCCAGTTGAACGTCGACTGATTTGAAATTCTCGACAATTCTGGCGGGTGTCACTGACTTTGGGATGACCACCAGTCCTCGATGCAGAGCAAATGATATGCATACCTGTCAGAGTTGGAGTAAGATGGAAGGAAATAAGGAGAGAGAGAATGAGAAAAAATGTGGCAGTACTGCTATAAGGGCTAAATATACAATTGTTGCTAAAGATAGAACAAAACAGTAGGGGCACAAAGAAAGAATACAATTCCAACATTTCTTAATTTAGCCCTTAATACTGCCATGTTCCGTTTATTAACAGGAAGAGATAAAAATTAGTAGCAAGTGACGAAAACACAGGCACTATGACATGGACTGCCTATGCAGCGGGTAATTTCGACCTCATATATATGTGACCTTTTGAAAGAAGGTGTGCACTGACACACCCACTCCATTTTGGAAAGATGGAAGCTCGCTCACCTGTGCGGCGGACACACTGTGTTTCTTGGCAATCTCGACGATGTCGGGATGATCGAGGACCGACCGCTCCAGGTTGTCCTGCTTCAGTTGCCCCGGGTTACCGAGCGGAGAGTAGGCCTCAAACACTATACCTGGAGTGGAGAACACCGAGGTGGTGTCAGGGGTTTTGACAAACGAGCTGTGCTAGCGGATCTCGCACACTTGGCAGATTATACCAAGGAACTATAGCAAGCATAATATCACAACCGATTTATCACCAAGTATGACCAATGTACATATATAGTAAAGTGGTTTATATATAGCATATGTACATATATAGTAAAGTGGTTTATATATAGCATATGTACATATATAGTAAAGTGGTTTTATATATAGCATATGTACATATATAGTAAGTGGTTTTATATATAGCATATGTACATATATAGTAAAGTGGTTTATATATAGCATATGTACATATATAGTAAAGTGGTTTTATATATAGCATATGTACATATATAGTAAAGTGGTTTTATATATAGCATATGTACATATATAGTAAAGTGGTTTTATATATAGCATATGTACATATATAGTATATATAGCATTATGCTCATAGTAATTTTCACTTTCAGTTTTCCGGCTATACCTTTACAGTTGCAGTACTCCTTCAGTTTCTGTTGCTGGAAGAAAGGATGACATTCCACCTGGTTGACGGCCGGAACAGTCTTTGCCGTCTTGAGCAGGTTAGCAGTCTTGGTGATGGTGAAGTTTGAGAGGCCAATGGCTTTGGCCAGACCCTTCTCCACTATACCTTCCATGCCCTTTCCAACACGGGAGGACAGGGTAAATTGACGCTATGTACTAGAGAAATGCAACGTATACACACATGTGTTTAACCCCGGTACCTCGCCAGTAGCGCTTCTACCAGCTAGGGTCTTGTTCTCTTATTTATATGATTATAGGTATAATTATTAACCCTCGGCGCGCATGCGCAGCGAGGGTTACTGTACTTGGTTTGTGTGTCTGTGTGTCTGTTCACGTTTTCTGCCACTAGACGCAACAAGATCGCCAAAACTCTACACCAACGGGTTCGGCGCTACATTTGCTTGATTTTAAAACTGGCGATTTTCGTAAAAACACTGCGTTCAAAAGTTATGGCGTGAAAAGCAAGTGAACAAGCCAATATGTAAATTAGCACAGGCTTACCTCGACCGCGTCCGTTCGCTCTGTGTGTCTTGAAGGCACAAGAAGTCACAACGAAGGGCGTGTATCAACTCCCGCATGCTATCTACTACTGTAGCTAGCCCGTGCCAGACTCTCCACCAGCTACAAGCGGAAGACCACGAGTAAACGCATTCTACGGCCCAGCGGTATCGCCGAGGGTTTGCACTCCAGTGTATGTACCTCCCAGCATTGGGCGTTCTCTCTTCGCTGTATCCCAATCTTTCTTCATCTTTGATCTCCTCCTTAGGGAATGTACAGTCCGGGGCGATATCGATAGGCCAGTGGATCAGGTAGAGATCTAGGTAGTCCAACTAGGGAGGGAGGGAAGGGATGGAAAGGGGAGAGGAGAAAAGAGAGATGATGTCACACTATTGAAAAAATAAAAAAAAAAAAATATAAAAAAATGGATAACTCATTGCCATGTGCCGCAGAATGCACAATCAACCACAGAATAGAAGATTAACCACAATTCTATGTACATACATCAAAAAATGAACTTATACCAAACAATCGAATACTACGCTAAGTGCCAAAAAAGGGGGCACCCTAATTACTAAGTACAGTAGTACTATAATACATGTATATAGGGATGACAATATGAAGGTTAGTATATAGGGATGGGCATGGTATAAGCTAGTAGGTAGAGTTAGTTAGCCCAGACCTGAAGATTCTTGAGAGTGATCTTGCAACTTTCTTCCACTTTGTCCTTTGCATGTGACGTGTTCCTGGGGGGAGAGATACACAGATAAATAAGTCACTGGTCCCCCTTCGAACTCTCTCATAGTAACACGTGTGCAAAAATTTGGCCTTGGAATAAGGCCAGTGATATAATTATACACACCTACCTATATACAGGCTCCTTTCTTCTTGAAGACTACGTCATAGTGCACATCACATGTCATCATAATACTACACTGCTTCAACTATAGACTATATAGCGCGATTGGTTCAACTATAGCGCAGATGGGTTGTGTAAATGCAAGACAAGACGTGAGCGGTGGTTGCAACTTTTTAACCACTTTTTCTAACAACTTTATCACCTCATTATCATAGGCCACCCGTGAGCAGTGGGTTAAACGTACCATAGCTTGGATGTGATAAAGATGTCTTCTCTCTTGCAGACGCCATCCTTGAAGCATCGCTGGAGGGCCTCCCCCACTTCTACCTCGTTACCGTAGATGTGGGCACAGTCGATGTGTACGTAGCCAGCCTTGAGGGCAGCCTCCACAGCTGCTCCCACCCCGCCGGGCTTTGATAGCCACGTTCTGCGAGTCAACGGGGGCGGTTGGAAAATGAAAAGCAAACACGAGTGCAAAGTTTCGGCAGTTTTAGCGACTTAATGTTTTTTCGGCACGTGGTGAGGTGAGGCGGGGTAATTCAGAATTGAACACGTTACATTTGGTGTCTGGCCATGTAAGTAAGTCTTTGGTGAAAAGAAATTGTCACTGTTACCATCAGGTAGGCAAGGCAAGGGCACTTGTAAACATTAGTCTGGTTCTTGCCACGGCTTGCATATAGAACTAGCGCTAAACATTACGTATTCCAAATTACAAACCAAACCATTATTTCAGCAAAACTGACTGACTGAAGTAAAAAAATTTAGTTCTGTTGTCAGTGTTACGTTTTGATCTGCCGCGCCCGCCCACATTCATTTATACGCACCACGTGCAAGCAACCGTGCGATATAGCCATATTATATGGCCTCTAAAAATGCCGTAGAGCCACAAGAAGCCCAGCCAAAATACGCGGGAAACCTGCTCACGCCGACGGGGCTAAACATAGCTACATGCATGCTACCTAAAAGAGAGCGCGCGATCGTGGAGAACAAACTCACCCGAGCCCGAAGGCCGGCATCTTGGCTCCGGTATTGAGAGTAACGGTCCACTCCTGTATACGGAGACAGTGGGAGAGAGAGAAGAGACAGATAACAAGGGCTGGTGCAGGGTACGGGGGTACATACCTTAGGCATCTCGGCGGTCTCTCGCTCGTCGGGATTGTGGGGGAGGAGAGGACCAGAGTAACCGTAGGACGCATGCGCATTATCGCGGCGCGCGCGCGAGTTAGCAAAGTACTTGTCTATACGTGTGTGCATGGGCGTATACCTATACAGCCTAGCTTATGCGGGAAATCAGAAGAAGAAACAAAACTAGACTAAACACTACAACTGCAACAGTGGCATTTCGTGTTGTTTTATAGCTGTTGTGTGTTGTCACCGTTATTATTTGTGTAACAATGTCTATGGTAATTCTCATTCTATAGCTAATATTATTATTATGTGGGTGGAGAATTAAAAAAATTTGTCAATACTTCCGTTGTTCGAGATGATCTAAGTAATGTGGGTGGCTAGTAGTAGTGATAATAATACTTCCTTTTGGCACATGCTACAGTTAATTCAGCAGTTGTGTGGATAGAGAAGCATGGCTGTGATCCAGTTGTCATTGCTGATGATGGTCTGCTGGTCTGTGGGAGAAGTATACTGCCAGACCTTTCCCCATGTCTCCTTCATGGGCCAGACTCTTGATAACAATTCCTATGTGGACCTCAGTCGAGTGGGGAATGATTTCAGTGGTAGTGACAGTGTTCAGTGTATCACTGACCTGAGCACATGTTGTAGTCCGTCTCAGGGTGCTAATCGTGGAGACTGGTATTTCCCTAATGACTCTAGACTGGGGTTCTCTGGTGATATCTATGAGTTTCGTAGAGCTCAGAGAGTTGACTTACGTCGTAGCAACAATGCCAACTCAGCAACTGGTATCTATCGTTGTGATATTCCAACTATTGCTGTCCATGATGATACTGACAGTTTAGTGAGAGACACCGTCTATGTGGGACTGTATACTGCCAGTGGAGGTAAGTTCTCTCCTAAATATTCTTGACAGCTATATAATGCAAAAACACAACAAAGTTGCATGATATTCAGAAAATATGTGTCTTTACCTTATTTGACATGAAATTTGTTGCACAATGACTGCCGTGTAGTAGGATTGGTATAACATGCGTTAAATTAATTCAGGTGATGTTACAATTGCTGGTGTGATGTATGATTCTAACACACAAACCCTCACCTGTATCTCCACTGGTGGACCTGCTACCACTGTCACTTGGACCAGAAACTCCACCGCTGTCACCCAAGGAACCCAGACTGTGTTGAATGATCCAGAGACTGCACAGTACACCCACACTCTGACTGTGACTACTGGAGGAGAATACACGTGTACTGTGGCTAATAACAAGCCATCTTCTGCTTCAGCTAGCACTACTGTTATAGCAGGTAGCTATAGTAAAAATGTCCGCATGTCACTGTTTTGGCATGCAGTCTAAAAACCAACGAACACTGGAGGAATGCAACACACTTTTGGCAAGCAAAGCAAGCAGTTCATATTTTGTGCATGTTGCCCCCACATTTAGACGGGCTCGCTTCACTCGCCAATTATGTGAAATGAAGCTTGTTTAACTCTCAGTGTTGACAGAGCTACAGACACTCTCCAAGTGCTTGTGAACTAAAGCAATATTGGTTGTTGTGAAAGTGTCACTACAGACCATAGGTCGGGAGGTCAACAGCATGATTTCTGCAATAGAAAAATTCCATATTTCGGTCGCCAACTCCCAATGTTGGTATAATTGAGTGATTTATTTTCAGGTCCCCCGCCTCCCACTGATGTGACAGCAGTCCAGGATGGTCCCACTAGTATCACAGTGACCTGGACTCCTCCCTCTCCATTGGGAGACACCACTGGCTACAGGATCTCCTTTATTGGAGCCAGTGATGTGGATATTGATGGTGGCTCTACCAACAGCTACACTCTGACTGGTCTCACCAATGGAGACACTTACACCATATCCATTGTAGCCACATCATCTGGCTTGTCTAGTGCACCAGTACAGGCCACTGTTGGTTAGGTATGTGGTATGTTAAAACACTAAACAAGTCAACTATATACACCCAGGACAACTCTTTTTCCAAGGAAAATCAGTTGCCCTATAGCTTTCCATTGTGTGCTGTCTTTGTTTCCACCACAGTTCCATCTGCTCCAGTCCTTGCCTCAACTCCAACAGTCACTACCACTACCATCACCATATCTGGCAGTGTTCCCAGTGGCTCAGTGGTGACTGGCTATGTGGTCCAGTGGCAGAGAGACACCTCACTTGTCTGTCCTGATCTGAATGATGATGGTAGTATCACTGAGACTAGCAGTAGTTTCACTGGACATACAATAACTGGACTAGAGCCAGGCAATAGGTACGCCGTCACTGTGACAGTCTCTAATGGAGCTGGTAGTGGTCCTGTCAGTAATGCTGTTACTGCAATGACTACTGCGACTGGTAAGGCGTACTGTGTAATCCCCAAATTCCTCACTAATGTTGGTGTTACTCTCCACAGCTCCCAGTGGTGTTCCTGGTCCAAACACTCTAGTTACAGTCACACCAAACAGTGCCACTGTCCAGTGGGGAGAGGTGCCTTGTCTCCAGAGAAATGGAGAGATCACGGGCTACACAGTTACTGCAACAAACTCAGATGGAATGGAAGAAGGAACTGCTAGTGTTGATGTGGATGCTAGACAAGCCACAATCTCTGGACTGACTCCATCCACACAGTATACTGTGTCAGTAGCTGCAGTCAATAGTGCTGGTACTGGACCTACCATTACCCTCCCTGTTGAGACTCCAGGTGAGTAGGTTGTAAAGGCATCTTCTGATTCAGCTAGCACTGTTATAGCAGGTAGCTATAGTAAAAAGTTCTTGATATACACTAATGCCTGGAATTATGAAGCACCACTCAACACATGCAAAGTATTTAGAACTAATAGTTCAGTTGTTGCGTTGTTCTTGGTTTTGGCTGCAGGACAGGGAGAACCTAGCCCCAGGACAAAAGGGAGAGCCCGGAGAGCAGGGACCAAAGGGAGATACGGGGGGAACGAGGATCGCCAGGGGTTCCGGGGGAACAAGGTTTAATGGGGGCCAAAGGAGAGCCAGGAGATGTCGGACCGCCAGGACGGCAGGGGGACCGGGACCTCCAGGACAACTGGGGGAGATGGGGGCCCCAGGAGATGTGGGGGAACCAGGACCTCCTGGTGAAACAGGAGCTAAAGGAGAATTGGGAGATTTTGGACTGCCGGGACCGAAGGCGAAGGGAGACAGGGGTCCAGATGGGTGAGCCGGGACCAGGTGGACCTATTGGGCCAAGAGGGGAGAGGGGTGAGGATGGGAGCAGAGGAGAGAAAGGGGAGAGTGGCAGCGATGGTATCCCTGGAGGACTAGGTCAGTGTTAGTATAGTTTTCTTGAAGCATTATGGGTTGAAGGGCCCTGTAATGCAGTTCAGTTCTTATCTTTCCTGTTGTGTAAGGTCCATACGAGCACACGTTATCTTTAAAGCAGAATTGTTTAAGTCTTGTACTCTGTATGCAACTAATATCTCCATTCCTCCAGTTTGACATGACAGTATGTTATACTATGCACTGCTTCCTCTAAAAGAAGCCAGGTCGTGTAGTGAGGCTTTCTACGCTGTAGTAGACTTCCCTTTGCTGCATTAAGTGATGAATTACTTGGTCAATTAGCTAATATATACTACTATTTGAAGCAGCCAGACCTCCACACTATGTGTCAACAACTAGGTCAACGGCAAACACGTGACTTTAACACAGAGCTAGTTCAAAAAGTTTATGCCACATGCTCTATAATATATAGCCAAGGCAAAGGACAAACATCAGTAATAACAAAATTGTACGCTTAACTGTAAATGTGTGTCTCTAAGATAGTTGACTATTATCATTACATATAATATATTAGGAGGAGTGAAAGGAGACATAGGAATCAAAGGAGATCAAGGAGATCGAGGACCAAAAGGACTCAATGGAAATCCAGGGCGACCAGGTGATCCCGGACCTCCTGGAGAGAGGGGACCCAATGGACGATCAGGAGATACAGGGGACCGTGGACCCCCGGGACCCGCGGGGGACTCGGGACCACGAGGAGTCAGAGGACCCCAAGGTTCCTCCGGAGAATCAGGGGAACCGGGACAGAAAGGAGACATGGGGGAACCGGGCCCCGCTGTACCAGGGGACCCAGGACCAATCGGGGCGAAAGGAGACCGAGGGGATCGAGGGGGACCAGGCGACATCGGACCAGCAGGACCAAGGGGGGAACCAGGTGCACCGGGAGACAGAGGATCAAGAGGTGACGTGGGGATCAAAGGAGAGATAGGAGCACCTGGACCAACAGGACAGACTGGTTTCACCGGAAGCAAAGGAGAGAGAGGAGATAGTGTAGTTGGAGCAAAAGGTGACAGGGGAGACGGAGGTGGCGCGACCTACGTGAGGTGGGGGAAGAGAACGTGCCCAGACACAGACGGAACCGAAATAATTTACAATCGGAACTGCAGCCAGCAGCCATCACTACGAAGGGGGAGGCGGAATTACCAATGTCTCACCAATCAACCCGGCCCATTTCGACTTGGGCGGCAAAGGCGGGCGCGAGGATGCCGGGTACATATATGGAACTGAGTTTGAGGTCTGGGGAAACGTGCCAGCGGCTAGTCTACCGCTGACCAATCAGAACGTCGCGTGCGCCGTGTGTTACGTAACGCGGGGAGCCGTCGTGATGATCCCGGGAACGTACATCTGCCCTCTCGGGTGGAGGAGGGAGTACCACGGTTACCTCATGTCCGAACGCCACAAGAACAGACGATCGACGTTCGAGTGCGTGGACGCATCGCCCGACATTCTGCCTCAGCGCGAGCAGGATATTGACAGAGAGGGAGACGACGACGGAGCGTTGTTCTACCACGTGGAGCCTCGCTGCGGCAGTCTGCCCTGTCCGCCGTACGACGAACAGAGAGAAGTAACCTGCGTCGTGTGCAGTCGCTGAAAAATTGGCGCAGACGACACGGAACATTCTTTTCAGAGACATTATTATTAGAACTAGCTAGTGAGGATAAAAATCATTTTCTTGCCTTGTCTTGTTAGATAGAAGAGCGCTCACACATGCAATGCGTGCAGCCTATATAATTGTTTACTGCTTGAAAACATTGCTCGCTACAGTGCGGTGACATCTGTACTGTATTAGCTACCTGCTTAATTGGGACATTTCCAGGAAAATGTACGAGAAACCAGAATAACAATTATGATAAACCAACCAATGAAGTCAATGGTTCATGAGAATGATCTGTTTGCTGCCGACGTAAGGCTCCATGGATCTGACTAGAGCAGTCTTGTAGTCCGAGAGAGGATGGTGGGTGGTGGGCGGGAGGCCCGACAGAGCCAGCTGACAGAGATCCTCCATCATTGACTGGTGCAGAGGGTCTGGGGAGAGCAAAAGACCAGCAAAATGTCTTTAAATGAAAAAACGGTGTCCAGGGAAAAATTATCGCTATTATTCATGAATACATGTAAAGAACACTTGTTTCTATCCAGTCCTTAACCTATGAATAAAAAAACCTCTGTATAAAGGTCAATTTTCCATTAAAGTTTCACTAAGAACAAGAGACTTGTATATGGAGGAGCAAGTTCCACTGACTGTGCAGATTTCTCTCCAACCACTTGGAGTTCCAGTAGCCTATACCACTTTCACATCCTTGAATATCAGGTATCCCTGCAGCGACATCAAAATCATCATCAGGGCTAGCTAATTATTGAACACTACTCTAGTGAGAGGAAACCTACAGTCCCCAGGCCTTGGCCAACTGAGCCACACTCAGCCCCACCCCACTGTTGCCTCCATTCTGAATGACACTGTCTCCTGGAAACAGAAGACTATAAGAGTGAGGTATAGAGTTAGAGTCGATACCTGACCGAGGCTGTCTATACCTCCTTCGTGATAGGGTACGCGCAAATTTTTACACGCTGCCTAGCTGTCATATCGATGCGAAATATAGCCAGCCAAAGAACTCTCGTCTATTTGCTGGCATTCGCTGCGCTCTTCGATACCTGACCGAGGCTGTCTATACCTCCTTCCAATCTTCGTGATTCTAAGGTTCAAGTTTAGGATGGCTCGTGCAGATAGAGTCAGGCCAGTAATCCTGGAGCATGCGCAGTTGGACGACGTACAGTCGTCGTACACAACTATTTATACAACCTAGCTTTACGCGGGGAAATCGTTGAATAAACGAAACTAGACTAAACACTAGAACTGCAACAGTGGCATTTCGTGTTGTTTTATAGCTGTTGTGTGTTGTCACTGTTGTTATTTGTAAAAATGTCTACGGTAATTCTCATTCTATACCGAGCGCGTTAGCGTGAGGCAACTTATGGTGCGCCAAATGGGTAAAAACCCGTTAGTGCACGCACGCTTTAGCTTACGCGCTAACGCGATAAATCCGCCTTAGCTTACGCGCTAACGCGATAAAGCCGCCTTAGCCATGCGCTTTATTTCCGTGCTAAAGTGATTTGCTGGCTAGTCTATGCGCTTTAGCTAAAACTTTTTTTTTCAACGCGTCTTGACATCGCATTGCCCATCGCGCATCAATGCTCCATTCCCAACGTGCAATTTAACCCAACCTGTTTTTAGCCGGATCGCTCTGGTGTTATTGCGCGCTAACCAACACGCTGCGCATTACAAACGAACCAGTTTTTCATATGGTGCGCCAAATGGGAAAAAACTCGTTAGTGCACTTACGCGTTAACGCGATAAATCCGCCTTAGCTTACGCGCTAAAGTGCACGGATTACGCGCTAACGCAATCGTGTTCGCCTAGCATACCTCGCTAAAGCTAAAGCGCGGTCGTCTAATGCGTCTAAGCGCTTTAGTCAAAACATCACAACGCATTACTTATCGCGCTCCGACATCCCGCAATTCAACCCGTGTTTGAAAAACTGGTTCGTTTGTAATGCGCAGCGTGTTGGTTAGCGCGCAATAACACCAGAGCGCTGATTGGTTACCAAACCTGTTTTTAGCCAGCTTTCCCAATGCACCCAGTGGGCCCGGAAATCGTTCGCACGCTCTGCAGTATCCCGCGCGAAAAAAAATCCAGGAATGGAGCATTGATGCGCGCGATGGGCAATGCGATGTCTATGGTGCGCCAAATAGGAAAAAAATCGTTAGTGCACGCACGCTTTAGCTTACGCGCTAACGCGATAAATCCGCCTTAGATGTCAAGACGCGTTGAAAAAAAAACGTTTTAGCTAAAGCGAATAGACTAGCCAGCAATTCGCTTTAGCACGGTGCACTTAGCACGGAAATAAAGCGGTAAGACAGCTATGGCGGATTTATCGCGTTAGCGCGATAAGCTAAAGCGTGCGTGCACTAACGAGTTTTTCCCCATTTGGCGCACCTTATTTTCAAACACGGGTTGAATTGCGGGATGTCGGAGCGCGATAAGTAATGCGTTGTGATGTTTTGACTAAAGCGCTTTGACGCATTAGACGACCGCGCTTTAGCTTTAGCGCGGTATGTTAGGCGAACACGCTTTAGCGTAGATCTAAAGCGGTCTTGATCGCGTCGCGCGTAATCCGTGCACTTTAGCGCGTAAGCTAAAGCGTGCGTGCACTAACGAGTTTTTTCCCATTTGGCGCACCATAGCAACTACTCCGGGTTGTATTCTCGTACGTACGTGTCGTCACGCTTAAGAATGTCAATTAGTCACGCTTAGGAATGTCACTTCCGTGATTCGTAGCCGCGCAGATTCGTAGGAAGTCTGGCTTCACGCGCACGCAGTCAGTAGAGCGCGCGCACGAGCGGCCTCGCTCAGTCTAGTCGTCGGAGTGTTTACGCATTAGCTGGCAGGCGCGAGGCAAAAATATGCGCGTGCGCATTCCTAGTATTATGTGGGTGGAAAAGAAAAAAATTTGTCAATACTTCCGTTGCTCCTTAATTGATCTATGAGATGATCTAAGTAATGTGGGTGGCTAGTAGTAGTGATAATTAATGCTTCCTTTTGGCTCATGCTACAGTTAATTCAGCAGTTGTGTGGATAGAGAAACATGGCTGTGATCCAGTTGTCATTGCTGATGATGGTCTGCTGGTCTGTGGGAGAAGTATACTGCCAGACCTTTCCCCATGTCTCCTTCATGGATCGGACTCTGGCCAACCATTCCTATGTGAACCTCAGTCTAGTGGGGAGACCTGATGTTGGTGATGGTGAAGGTGTTCAGTGTATCACTGACCTGACCACATG